TGTGAGCATGCCCGATGGCAGAAGGGTGAAATGCACAGAGGACATTATTTTGACGGAGGCGAAGAAGGACATTATTTTGAAGCAACTCCTCCCGGCAGCAATTAAGATGCACGCCGAGCGTCTGTCCGTGAAGCCTGTGGAAGATACCATCCGTATGCCCATGCCAGATCATGGTCTAGGGCCGTGCAGCAATTTCACCATCCCTTCCTGGCACCACACCATCGGCGTGAGCGGCGCCGACATGATCCTCTACGTCGACGCTTTCCTAGGTAGGGAATTCGTTGCAGTGGCGGATGTATGCGCCACTCTAAAGGACGGACGCCCGTGCGCTGGCGTCGTAAACTTCAACCCGCGGCACGTAAGGGCCACTGATGAAGCTGTTCGTATTACAACGCACGAGATTGGGCACGCCCTTGGGTTTTCGTTCAATCAGTTTTCAGAGTTCAATATGCTCTCCAATGTCTCCAATGTGCGCGGGAAGAAGGAGGTGTGGGTGGTTTCCTCACCGAAGGTGAAGGAGCTGGCAAGGAAGTACTATAATTGCTCCACACTTGAGGGCATGGAGCTGGATGGTGAGGCTAGTGAGGAGGCAAGCTTGATCCACTGGAATGAACGCAACACAAGGGGGGAGTTGATGAGTCCTGGGAGCCGGATCGCTTATTACTCGGCATTCACGCTTGCGGCATTTGAGGACATGGGTGTGTACAAGGCCAACTACGACATGGCGGAGCCGTTGCAGTGGGGCAACAACTCTGGTTGCGGGCTGCTGGAAAATAAGTGCTTGACCAATGGCCGCACCGACTACCCTGAGTTGTTCTGCAGTACGTTCTGGAATGACCACAGACTGCTCTGCACGTATGACCGTCTTTCTCTGGGGACGTGTAACCTAAAGACTCATCACCAGCCCCTTCAACTGCAGTTTCAGTACTTTGATCAACCCACACATGGAGGCGAATCACAGTATATGGAGTTTTGTTCGTTTGTTAGGGATCTTGAAGCGTCTGCGTGCACCAACGGTAACCCTAATAAATTCACTGGAAGCTTCATTGGCCCGGGCTCACGGTGCGTAAAGGGAGAGGGGCTTCGTTTTGATTACCAAGAGATTGGCGATGTGTGCGTGAACACGCAGTGCAGTGGGGGTAAGCTGAGGGTGCAGTTCCTTGGCGACGGTACGTGGCGCGACTGCAATGAGGGTGACACGGTTGCGCCGTCGGGGGGCAAATGGCGTGGAAGCATCAGGTGCCCCAAATATGCCGACGTGTGCACAGCCGTCCCCAACACCTGGGCCCTCCCAATACCAGTCGTTGCCCCGCCACTGGCGGAGGAGCCAAACCCTGCACATACAAATGATGAATCAGGCGGCACTCATCCTGATCCTGGTGCCTCGCCCTCAACGTATCAGTCGCGCAATACCAACCCGGAACGTAGCCCAACCAGCATGCGTGGTGAGGTTACTCCGAACCCGTATGGAAAAAGCAGCGTTGGAGGCAATTGGAATCACGGGGGGAATGAATTCGGAATCGGTGACACTTCAGTTGCGGCTGCTGGCCTCAGTTACCTTGCGGTTCTCGCCGTGACCGTCGCTGTGGCGATAGCGCCTCTCTGAGCAGCAGCAGCAGCGGCTGGGCACAAAAAAAAGTGCGGCGGGGCAATAATATAAATATATTTGTGGCCTGTGGAGCCACGCACTCAATATATAAATCGCGGTTATAATGCAATGCACACATAAACTGCGCCTTGGCGCTCCTTCTTTAAATCAACTGCTACTCTCGCTTTGTACTGCCACCATTCCCGCGAAGGAATGGAACTAGTTTTTGTTTTATATTGTGTTTCTGTTTGTTTTTGTTTTATATTGTTTTTCTATTTGTTTTTGGTGGGCGACCTTTCTTTCTTTCTGGACTGCACTCAAGGGGAAGAAGGAGAGCATGTGTGCGTGCTGGTCGTCCCACTTGCTGCTGCGCGTCCCACTGCTCGGTGTACGTGCCCACGCTTTGGCTTCACTTTACAGGGTTTGTGTTTTGTGTTTTTATATTGTTTTTTTTTTGTCGACTGCGCCCATTCCTCGCGCTGCGTGTGTGTTCTTACAATGAATTTCTCTTCCTGCGCCTAGCTGCCATTCGTGTTGATTTGCCGTTTCATTGCATCTTGCAGTCCTTCCTTTTCTTATTGCTTGTTTTTTTTGTCCGTGCATATCCTCTGCATGTGTAGGAGCTAACACACACACACACACACCATGTTGCTCACGCTGTGGAGCGGTGTGAACCTTTGAGGACGCGTGCATGCACGAGGCTCGGGTGGCGGCAGCCCTCGCCAACATGCCCGTGACGCTCAAGCCGTGATGGTTTGGCCGCGAGAACGGGATGGAGGAGGTGTTGCTGCAATTTCAGTCCGTGCGGCCGCTACCCCGCGCTGCAGACAGAGGAGGGCTGCGTCTTCGAGTCCGTCGCCATCCTGCGGCACATCGCGCGTCTCGATCCGGGCGGCGGCTTCCTGCACGGCCGAGCATCGCCGGAGAGCGGACGGGTGGAGTTGCAGGCAACTCCTCTGGTGAGGCCGGCCGACCGGTTGTAGTGCGGTGGTGGTGCAGTGCCCGGTGCCGGGGGATGCGAGGTGCCTGCGCTGCCGTTGGTATGCCAGGGTTGGGGCGGGCATTGTTCCACCAGAGCGGGAACACGCGGCTTCGGCGGTGCGTTGGGGTGGGGCGTGACCTCGGGCCGTTCCGCTGCACGCGCAGACCCGACACTGTCCCTCTGTCTCGCAGGGTGCAGTGGAGTGGTTGGAGCGTGTTCCGGCTGAAAGGACTGCTGCTGGCACCGGGGCGCGGTGGACTTGTGCTCCCTGCACGAGGCGCGTTTCTTGTCTGGGGAATGGGGTGGCTTCCCTTTTCCTTCGGCGGCTGGCGGGCGGGCTTCGCTCCGCCACCACAACGAGGCTGTGGTCTTTGAGTATTTGTTGGGGGCGGCGTTGGGGTCACACACGGGCGCAGGGAGGAAAGCGGCAAGGCGCCGAAGGCCACTGCAGAGTCACGGCTTCAGTGCTTTGCTGTACGCAAAGGATGATAACTTGTTTGCCGTGTGCGAGAGAAGGGACAATGAGACAAGCAGCCTTTTTCTTGTGCCCCTCACTGAGCAGCTGCAGCGGGTCACATGGCTGGGCAGCCTGCAGCTCTCCCGTGCCTGCGGATGGGTTGGTTGTTTTTTGTCCGGTGCTGGGAATGCCACCCAATGGGCCGGCGATTGCCGTTGTATGAACGCTGCGGTGAGTGGCGCGGCAAGGATTGCCGACGGCTTTAACCTGACGGGGCCCGCGTCGCGGATTGTGTGGCCGGTGGTTGAGCGGGCGAGGGCGCCGGCGTACAGCTTTGGTGGGCGTGGGCCGGCACGTGCAGGAGCTGAGCCCGAGCTAGGACGGTAACAAGCGCTGGCGGACAGGCGACAGGGGAGGCGTGAGTGCGGCAGCGCCGCCGTGTAGGGAGGGGGCGGCGTGCCAGGTGGCACTGGCGGTCTGGGACGCCAGCGGCAGCGCCTACGTTGACGGCGAGAGGGTGGGGCCGCTGGGGGGCACTCTCGTGCCTGCGTCGGTTCCCGGCAGCACGACGGACGCGGGCGATGGGGCGGGCCGAAGAAATACTGCTGCCGCCGCAGGATGAGTTGGCGCACGTACTTTTTGGGGGCGGCGAGGGGTAGTGCGGGGGGCGCAGGGAACGACATGATGCTGACGAACATTTTTCTGTACAGCCTGCTGCTGAACGCCACAGAGCTGAAGGCGCTCGTCGTGGAGAAGCTCGCCCCTCCAGTGACGACAGAAGCGCCGTCAACCACGGCCCCCTCTGC